GGGATTCCTGGAAGGGTGATCCCCTGCACCCACAGCCGGGGTGGAACGGGGCTCGACGATGCTCCAAGCACCCTCAGTCCTCGCCGAGCCCTCAGGGCTCTCCCCACCCTGTGCCATCCCAGAGCAGCCCTAACTCCAGTGCTGGAGGGAGCTGGGCAGTGGTGTCTGCCAGCCCCCCTGCCCAGTGGTACCCACCACAGACTCCAGCTGCAGAGCCCTCCCGTCCTTCCAGAGCCACTGCCAGGCTCTAGGGTCCCACCCTGACCAGGGGCCGGGGGGAGCACCCACCCAGTGACACCCCAGCTGTGGGTGCTGCCCAGCAGACCCCTGTGGGCGCGGGGCGGACCATGGCGCAGGCAGGCGCCGCATAAGCCCGCACCGCCCCCAGCCCTGTCACCTGCCCCCCAATCCATCTCCTGGGATCGGCAGCATTCCAGCCCCTGGGCACGGCAAACATCTGCCTCCTGCTCCAGGTTTAATTAACCTGCTGCCGCCTCCCTCCCCCAGCACCCGGCATTTCCTCCCCACCACCGCTCGGGGCCGGGGCAGGCGCCGATGTGGCCTGGGCCAAAGCCAGCACCAACACCAGCTCCAGTGCCAGTGCCAATGCTGGCTGTGCCCCACGGGGCCACAGCGAGCCCCTCTACCATGGCAGGCCCACAGCCGGTGACTCCCTCCGGGTGGGAAAGCCACAGCCATGCTGGGTGCGTGCAGCCAGAGCACTGGGCAGGTTTCTCCCAGTACCTGCCAGGCCATGGGTAAAGAACTCCCAGGGCTCAGCCCGGCAGGGCCCCCAGCAGGGCAGGGTCACGGTGCTGCAGGCTGGAGTGCCACATCCCACTCCCCTGCCAAGGCACACAGGGACCCACACCCTTGGCACGGGGGCCTTTTGGGATCAGCAGGAAGGGGAAAGACCCCCCAGCATGGAAAAGGGCAGCTCTGTGCCTGCCCAGCGCTGCCGTGGGATGTGGACAGCACGAGGATTGGGACGGGCAGCGTGTGCCCAGGCTGGGCCTGGTGGGGACGGACGTGCGTGTGTGTGTACGTACATGTGTGCGTGTGCATCCGTGCTGTGCAGTGTGTGTGTGTGCAGCTGTGCTGTAGGCTGTGCGTGTGCAGGCAGCTGTGCTCACACTCGCTGCCGGGTGAGTGTGTGCAGCCCTGAGTGCCCGTGGAGGAGCTATGGCGGCAGGGACGGCCACCCCACACTTGCAGCGGGTCCGGCTGAGCCAGGGTCCACCTGGTGCTCCCAGTGCGTGCGGAGCCCCTGGGACACGCGGTGCATTGTGTGCGGTGCCCCCAGGATGTACGGTGCCCCCGGGGGGTGCAGTGCCCCCGGGGTGCGGCAGCTGCGGCTCCCGGTGCCGCCGTGATTTACAGGCGCAGGCCCCGGTAATGTCATTTGCCCCAGACCGGTGGCGCCAGGATGGCCGGACGGCCGCCCCCCCCTCCCCGCCGGCCCCCTGCCCCGGAGCCGTGACCCGCCGCCCCGAACCGCTGCTTGCCCGGGAGCCGGGACCCCCAGCCCGGGAGCCGCGGGAACCGACCCACGGGGCCGCCCCGCCGCCCCACAGCTCACTCCCCTCACTCGTGGAGCGGCTGTCGCGATAGACGACAGGAGGCCCGGCGCGGCCCGGCCCGTATCGCTCTCCGGTAGCCGTTACCGCCCGCCTGCGGAGTGTGGCCGGTCCGCGGGCCAGGGCCGGGGCCGGGGCCGAGCCCGCCCCGAGCGGCACCGTCGCACCCCGCGCCCGGTGGGACCGCAGCCGGCCCCGCTCCTCAGAGCCAGGTACGAGCGTCCCGACGGGACAGGTCTGGGCTCCGTGCCCGGGATCTACGGGTCGGGGGGACCGGGATGGGTATCCCGGGAACGGCTGGTTTAATAGAAACCGCGGGTCCGCACTACCAGGAACGGCGCGTCTGCGGGAACCGGAGTCCGTGACTCGGGAACAGCGGGTGGGGGGAACCGGGATCTATCACCCGGGAACGGCGGGGCCGAAGGAAACTGAATCCATGGCCCGGGAAGGGAAGGTCGGCGCAACTGGCGTCGGTGTACCGGGAACGACGGGTTCCAGGGAAGCAGGGTCCGTGCTACCGACACCGGCGGATCGGGGGAATCGGAATGCGTGTCCCCGGGAGCGCGGATCCCTGCTACTGGGAAGGGCATATCGGTCCGTGTCGTGGGAGTGGCGGGGTCGGGGGAAGCGGGTTTCGTACCGCCGGGAACGGCGGATGGGTCCGTGCCCCGGGACCGGCGGCTCGGGGGAACCGCGGTCCGTCCGGCAGCGGAGCGTCGGGGCAAACCCCGGGTCTGTGTCCCGAGAGCGGCGGCTCGGAGGTCGTTCTGAACGGGGAGGTCCGTTCGCTCGGTGGTGCGTGGGCTCGGTGGGATCGGGCTCGGTGCGCCCGGACAGCGACGCCTGCGGGGAACGAAGCCTGCGCGCCCCGGGAGTGGCGGGCACGGTGCCGGTCCGTGCGCCCCGGGATCCAGGATAACGGCGCCGTGGCCGCCTCCGTGCGCTGCGCCCCTGGAAGCGCGGCCGTGTGCGCCCGGGAGGACGGCGCGGCCCCGGCTGGTGCCCCGACGCTGCCGGAGCCTCCGACGGGACCGCGGGGGGAACCGGGGCTGCGCCGGGGCGCGGAGCGGCGCCGGTATCGCGGCGGCTGCCGTGGGCCCCGCGCCGCCTTGTCGTAGCTAAGAGCCGGGGG